TATTCTGCGTCTTGCTACACAGAAGCGGCAAGAAAAACTACAACAATGGCAGACGATGATGCAGAGAGCAGTATTTATGTTTAACCATCTTGAAATGATTGTGTATCTATGGTTGGAAAAGATAATAATAATAATTTAATTTTATTGTCATTACACTGTCACAAGTACAGAGCAATGAAATTAACTCTCTGCATTTAACCCATCCTCTTGGGGAGCAGTGTGGGGTTAAGGGTCTTGCTCAGGGACCCAGAGTGGCAGTCTGTGGGAGTGGGGGATCAAACTCACAACCTCAGGATTCAAAACCCTATGCCCTAACCACTACGCCAGATCACCAGATGCGCTCCGGCACTACCATCCACATCATTGCATCCTCTACTGCGCATGTGGGACACTTGTGTTGTATGACTGCAGTTCACACAGGAGATCACATACAAGTCGCATATATTTGGAAATATGAAAGACAACTCAAAGAAGTCGGATTTCACAAAAACAAAATTGAAATTGAGCATCAAGGCCGGCAGGCAGACTAACAGGACTTTGTGGGTCAGAACTCTAGCTGATAGAAAACTGTAAATGCTTATTTGCAGCTGTATCGTACAAATAAATAGTAAAAAAAAACCTATATTGTGATTTCTGTTTTTGTTTTTTAAGATTATGTCTCTCACGGTGGACAGTAATTTCTAAGTGGTAGAACTGGCAAAATAGCGGGGTTTTAAAATACTTATTTTCCTCACTGTGGCTCACCACCATCAGCATGTGATTTGATGAAGAGCTATATAAGTACAGGCCATTTACATCTATATTATTTTCATATTCAGTATATTTACTTGTTTCATCTGTAAAACCTGTTCAGGTGACTGAATCATCAATCAATCAGTTTATTTCTGTAGCGCCAATTCACAACACATGTCATCTCAAGGCACTTTCACCAGATCATTCAGTCAAAATGATTCAAAATTTAAATCATCATGTTCTGAATGATTTATATTCTTCCAAAGTTCAGGGTAAAATGTCTGCAGCTCAACAAGCTGCACTATCCAAGAACAATAAAACTGGAACTTTGTTCCTTCCCTTTGGTGTTACCCAGTTTGCTCAGCTCAGAACCGGGACATTTCCTATCACTGTAATTACATTTGGTGTTCCCCAGGTTTCTGCCCTATGCCCTCTTTTATGTATTTTATGTAATTATTTCCTAATAACATTCTTTCAATGCATATTATATTCAGTGTCTTGGTTGTGCAAGTCACACTCATTTTCTTTTCTTAGACTTATACAAACTTTAATGTTTGAGTGTATACAAAATTAAATTTTGATACATAGCGTTTTTCGACAGTGAATGAGCAGCTCAGCAGTGAAATGAACATTTCCGTGTATAAAGTGCAGCAGTGACCAAAATGTAAACACTGTAGGAGAGACATGGTGCAAAAGGCATTGATGTGGAAGGTTCACAGCACTGCATAAAAATAAATAAATAGATTCTCTGTGGCTTTCTGTCTTCTGGAAATAGACATCTGAGTGAATACTAAAACAAAAAAACTTCGAAAATATTATCAATCAAGCCACACATTGAGGTCTTGATTTGGTTTAAGGACACTGCAAGTGTGAATGATGTTTACACTGTAACCATTATATGTAAGATGAAAATACTGAATTACTTATCCTTCTCTATCCCCCTTTCTCTAACATCTGTAGCTTCAGAAGGGTCCGCTGCTCATGAGGCACTTTCAGTTCCTTCGCTGGTCTCCATATCGTCATGTGCCTGATTCCAAGAAAGCTTTCCTTAGACTTTTGGCTCAGGTTCACAACTGGCAGAGAGAGTGTGGCGAAGGACGTACTGCTGTTCACTGCCTGTGAGTCTATTGATGTTCTTAAGCTTTGGGTTTTTTCTTGCCAACATTACTACTATCTTTAAGACTGGTCAGATTAACAACAAAACATGCTTTATTCTCATTCCAAATATTCCCTGATCAAAAAATTTTATATCCACAGAAAATTGACTTCTTGCATTACAAGGAAGACCACATAGCACTTCCTCTGCAGGTCATTCTGTACATAAGAGACACCAAATGAATAGATCTGAGCTAATTTCTTGAAACAAAATCATTTTAGGGATATTTCTCTGCAGTTTAGCTAATTTTCTGATAGCAAGCATGTTCTGTGTTTAATTAAATTCTGACATTTCCCCATAATAGCGTCACCACCCCTTTAACTTTAGAGAGTGTACTAAATATTTTTTCAGCTTATTGCTCAATGCTTGATGTCTCTTCACCTTTGTTTAATTATCTTGAATTAGGGATGGTGGTGGTCGGAGTGGTATTTTCTGTGCCTGCACCATAACCTTGGAAATTATTCGGCATCACAGCATGGTGGACGTATTCTTTGCTGCAAAATCACTGCGCAACTCAATACCAAACATGGTGGAGACAATGGTAAATGAACCTGTCTGTCTGTCTGTCTCTCTATACATCTATGTATAGACAGTAGACTAGTTGTAAAAAAAAAAAAAAAAAAAGGGAAGAAGGCACTGGGAGCAGCTTCAGAGTCAGGGTAGGCCACTTCTTTGATTTTACTTATTTTGCTCAGGCTACACATAAACCCAAAGCCCGCCAAATGTTGAAAGTTTAATATTATTGCCTGTACTGATAATATATGGTAGAAATTTTACACATTCAGTAATAAAATGTCACAAGGGAAGGTATGGGCGGATGGGCATTTAAGAAGGGGGATAATTTTTTAGATTTTTTTAAGAAGGGGATATGCCAACCCCCCCTCAATTTGAGCATTGTGCATAGATATATCTAGATAAAATAGAATACAACAGGAATATACTTGATTACCCCCCTCAGGTTTTAACCATCTGCGATCCTAAGCAAAATTGTTAGATAAGTCCATCAAGGCCAGCTCTTGCATAAGATGTAACCCTGGTCATTAGCTGCTTCACTGCTTTTTCTCCCCACACCTACACATTAACTTCACACTTATCTGACTACTGTGCTATATATGTTGCTATATCTCATTTTCAAAAAAATAAAGTAAGGCCATGTTTGTACTCTGGAATATAGTTTTAGATTTGTGTGCCCACAACTAATAATATCTTTTGCTTCCAGGAACAGTACCATTTCTGCTATGAGCTGGTCCATGAGTATCTCAGCTGTTTGGAAGTCAGATAGCAAAAAATCTTTTTTTACTGAATACCTTACCAAGGAAAGGGTCCAGATCAAGGATACTGCTTCCTCAGCGTTTTCCTTGCGCCTCATTTCATCACTCTTCTGTTTGGATATTTTGCCCCCATGGGATGAAAACGAGTTCATCAACCCTAAGGCTCACAGATTATAACATACCATTCAAAAGAACCCACTCCTGCTTCTTCTCTGCACCTGATTCAAGCCTTCCAGACAATTGGACTTCAACAGGAGTGTTGTTGATTTTAATAAGATGTCTGTCTAGGTATCCTGGCTGAGATCCTCTTTTTCCTGCCATACTATTAATAAACATTAAAGAATGAACAGATGCCATTTAGTGACTGACTTTTTGTGTTTGTAACACTGTAAAAGGTGCAGTTTGCTGTTTTGTGTTGTGTGCTGTTTTGTGCAGTTTGCCCCCAGTGTTGTTCTGTACTGTGGTGAAAAGGAATGCAGAATTTTTGTTAAAAGTTGTTTTCACTTAATTAGTTTCTGCCTTAATTTTACTTTATTTATTTGTATTTGTGGATGTTTCTATTAACTTTTCAGATATTTCTTGATGTTTCTAAAGTCTTATTAACCGTGCCAGTCTTAATTGTTTCAATATAATTTGTGACCCAAGTCTACTTCAATAGATTAGCGAAGAATATGATGCTCTCTGGCTTTGTTTTATGCAATGTATTTGATTTTCTAAATTGTCTATAACACAGGGGAAGAAATAAAATATATGCTTTACAGCAGTGCTTCCTTAAATTATTTTGAAGTTCACTTTAAAACAAGTTCAAGCACATTTCTGGTTGAAAAGATTGCTTTTCATCTAAATTATATGTAAATGTAAAAAAGGGATTATTTTTGATGTGTAAAGAATTTGTTAAGGTATCTGTTGATTATTAAATATTACTGAGAAATTAGTTTTTAATGCAGCACATGAAAAAATACATTAATTACATGTAAACTGTAATACTAATTACAAAATGATTAAATTAATTTAACAATCTACACCTCAAGATCAATTAAACAAAAGAAATACTGTAGAGTTCAAGAAAAGACACAACAGACCACTAACAATCAATGGCGATTGATCGGCTGACTGCGAGGCAGTGTTCACCTACCGCAATAAAGTGTTCGCATCCACACATCTTATTTATAAAGAATCCAATTAAATCATCACTTGTAAGAGCAGGTGGAATGGACGGTTCAACAGAGCTATGGCTCTGGGTGAGTTTGGCAACTGTATTAAAAAGAAATCTAGGATTATTCTTATTCTCCACTATTAATGAGGAGAAATATGCTGCTCTTGCTTTACAAAGGGTAATTGACATAAAAAATACTGTACTGTAATGTTAACGACAATGCTATTTTTTACTGCCTTTATATATTTAGAAGGTAATCCTTTCCTTTGTAGAAATGAAAGAGGACCAAATGAGGGTTGAAGGGGTGCTGTTTTCTCCCAACAACAAAAAGCCCAATTGTTGGCAAAAATCAAGTAATTGAAGACAATGTCAACTTTGATGGCATCGACAGTCTTTTGTCTATTGACCACGTTCTTTAACCCAACAGACAGCATGATACAAATGAACATAGTACTCTTTAGAGCACAACTCTGAACGAGTAAAGGATCTTAGATATCGACATGTGAAAGTAAGTGTAGCCTCCACACACTTTTAATTATTTGCTTGTAGCCTGGCTAGAACGATATTTGTAACAAAAGTACAAAAGTAGCACCTAGTGCCAGAATTGGCAGTCATAAATGAATATATGTAAGCAGAAAGAGAGGAATTTGGATTTTCCAACCATTGGTCAAGTACTACTGAATACTCAGCATTGCAGCTTGGTGTAAGGTAGGAGAACAGGCTTGTGTTGAAGATAGAGATCCATCCAATGCAACATTTTGTAAAGAGCAACCATGAAGAGCACTAAAAAACTGCAGTAGAAGCAAGGACAAATCCTGGTGCAACACTGCCCTCTAGTGGTCAAAATCCAGCCCCTTATTTAATCTGCTATCTACATAAGTTACAGAACTGATCACATTTCTCCATATTTTTCTGGGATTCATGTCTGTTTTTACATGTATTTTTTAATTCAACTTTTTTTAAACATCAACAATTTCATGGTCCTGTAATTTATACCAAGCTTTTTGACGATTGTTTCAGAAATAACAGTAATTAAGCTTACACTCTGCAGTGCTTAGCATTTCAGTGATGACTTAAAAAGGATATATGTGCATTTCATCTGGATGATGGGAGGTAAAGCTTCCAGTTATTATATTCACCCCTTAAAAATATTTTACTTTCTTAATAATGCTTATAACTAGAGGTGGCTCAAATTTTCTACAGTTAGTTATGCTCAAATCCATGAACATAACAATGAATTAAGATATATCACCATTTTTTTGTTTCTTTAGAATGTACTTTAGTGCTTTATTTAAAGAACTTAGACAACTCATAAGATCTTTGCTGTTTGGTTTACTTTACATTCGCTTGTCATGTAAACTAAACAATAAAGTTACATATTATTTCAGCAAATACCATGGCAACTCAAAACATCAGAGGATTCTTTGTGGGACCCTGAACAATCACCTCGATGAAAGACTAACGGAAAAAACAGAGCACCAACTAAGGGTTTGTGTCCAATAAGAGATTGAGCAGCAAAGGAGCTCCATAAGGTCTCTCATCATTCTTCTCTACTCTGTACACCTCACACCTTTCGCTATGGGACCTACTCTTGTCTTCTGCATCTGCAGATGACTCTGCAATCATGGCTGTTTTCAGATTAAATTCTTGCTAAATTTTGTGCGTTCACATAAAATACAATCTTGTACCACTCCAATCTAAATAATTTTCATTGTATTATTATCATCAACCTATTATGATTTATTTCAAGAAATATGGCTTTGACAAAAGCCAACAGCCCAAAGTAAACATGGCAGCGCAGCGGGACATATACGCAGCTACAGCGATCACATCTGCTTTGTCAGAATCCATATTTTCATTTTTTTAAATAGAAAGAAGCTGCACTTAAGTGCTACACATTGTCAGTCTGGTTTGCCAGGATAACGCTATGTTAGAGATGGAGGCTAAGGATGCTAAGTGCAGGGAGCTGGGAGACCACTCATGGGAGAAGAAATAAAGGTGGTGAATGAGTATCTTTGTCTAGGAAAACTTTGTGTTCATATAAACAAAAGCCTGGACTGAGGAAAAAACCACTAAGGTGTCTACAAAAGAGGACAGAGCAGACTTTGCTCACCGATGAAGTTTAGGTCCTTCAGTGTTTTATTAGCAACATGCTGCATATCTTCTGCTGTGGATAGTGTGATCTCTTCTGCCATTGTCTGTTAGGGTAGCAGGATTTAATAATTGAGAATTCTTTGTTAAATGAAGACTGTTATGGACAACCCTGATCATCTGTATCATTGTCAAAGCTAAGCTCTGTGTCTACACCTTGAGGCTTTCCCTCTCCGGTACGGTTTCCTGAAAAGCGATCACTCGGGACAAACTCTTTAAATAACACTTCATAGCTTATATGTATTAAATAACCATGAGACATGACAACAGATTTTGATAGAACTTGTAATCTTTCTCAGATGCTTAGAAGTTGCTTAGAGTTACAGAAGGCAGCTGCCTACAAACTGGGCTCACTTCTCAGGAAGTGGCCCCGATTAACAGTTAAAGAAGCATTTTATACAGCTCCAGTCTGCAACATCATCACATCGTTACATCATACATGTTTGCAGATGAGGAAACATCCATGGCTCCAGACTTATTACACTTTGTTCTTAGCTGAAGGACACCGCTTTCATTCAATTCCCAAATCTTTGCCATGTACAAAATGAAGATTATAACTGTATATCTGGACAGAGGAACTGGTCTAATTAGATAAACTACTGGGGAAAACATCAGTTCTGAAACGCAACAGGCATATTAAGGTGTAATAAACTAAAACATCATCAATGATAATTACCCTAACAATTCCACCTGAAAAGGTGACGTTTTAATGTCACCTTTGAACAAACCCATTATTATCTAAAGTGCTGTTCCTTTCAACATCAGAGAATCATGGAATAAACAATCAACAGTCCCCCTGATGATGTATCATTAATCAGGGAATAAAAGCAATCACAATCAAAACCTCACAGACCAAATGTCACTCAAGACCACCAAATTTAACGACAATTGGGGTTACATCTAATTAAAGGAAGGCTCTTTTAGTTTCCTAGGCACAAATTATTTTAACTTACCTTAGACTAGGTTACCCAAGCCTATAACTGTAATAAGGTCAAATTCATCTACTCTCACTCCCACCTGGAGGACTCCTAACAGAAAGCGTGACAGCTCAACATGAATTAAACCACCCATACAAATTTACCTATCATTCCGTTACAGTAAGGGATGTCACCGGAAAGACCTACCTAATCTAAAAGGTAGTAAAAACCGGGGTGACCCCCAGGGAAATCCCATGCTCTGCCAATCTGAGCAAGCCATCTGACAATTATCATTACCAACTAATTTAAAGAACCTTTAAGCCAATCAGGTTCTGAGTCTTTCCATATCAAAGCAAAAGTGGCATAAAACCTGATCTTGGTGAAGCAAAATGTTCATCAAACATTCATACAAAAAAAGACCCTGTAAGAGAGACCGCTATTCATTGTAGTTAATTTATATAATGCTATTTAACAAAACAAGTAATCCTAAGAGATTTGGCTTTCCTGGAAAGGATCACCTGAGGAGCTGGTTTAAAGTTGCCTTTTGTATCTATGCTTCTTTTTCTATGTCTGCTTCTGTCTCCTTAAACCCCAGTCGGCCTCAGCAGATGGCCGCTCACCATACTCAGTGTTAGAGGCCTTCTGCTGTAGCCTCGTGAGACCATTCTGATCTCGTGAGCTTTCAAAGTTTCACTCGCTAATCAGTCTGGAGACTCTCCGTTGAAGAAAATTTGGAGCCGTTCACCAAACGAACGTCCAATCAGCGTTGGCTTTGAGGCGGGTTGAGGTGTGACGCAACGAGAAGCGCGACAGTTCAGTCTAAAGAACATGGCGGCTTCAGCCGATGAAACTAGCGTTAGCGTGGCTATCGAGCAAGTTTTATCGGAATTACAGAGTATTTCTTCACTGAAAGAAGAGCAAAACACTGCTCTGGAGGCTTTTCTCAGAGGAAAAGATGTTTTTGCTCTTCTCCCGACTGGTTTCGGCAAGAGTTTGATCTATCAATTGGTTCCTCTTCGTCATCGCTCTGTTACATCATATGCTTCGTTGATCTGATTGGTTTATTTGGCCCGTCTATCACCAACATAGGCCAATCAGCTAACCAGTATTTTCGGCCCTTCCTAAAATTACTTAAACAGAAGGTTTCCAGATGGATATGCGGAGCAAATCCATCTGGCGGAGTCAGGTTACTTCTGCTGAGGCTGAATGGCGGTTTAAGAAGACAGAGGAAAACACACAAGGAACATGAAACACTGATCCATTGATACTTTCTATGTTATAAGAGAAAGCTCAATAGGTTGCCCTGTCTGTGGAAAAAAGTTAAGCAGATGAGCTCTGAGCTGGTATTAGTGACAAAAAGAATGAAATCTTCCTCCTAAAGTACGCCATAAGCCATGACTTTCATTTTGGACGTTGGTGAACCAATGCCTATTCAGGTTTTCTTGCAAACATTAAAGCAGAAACGAATCATAGGGAGATTTGATGTCCCCTGCATTCCAAGGTATAAAGTCTTTGAGACAGCTACCTTTCCCTTCTTTGTC